ATTTAATTAAAAATAAAATGAAAGTAATATTGGCCTAAAAGCATAAACAGGTGCAAACAAAACAAAACAAAACAAATAAAAAATAGTCCTAAAATAAAATGTAAAATGTATGAATACAAATAAAATATATGTAATATTGGTGTAAAAGCATAAACAGTAACAAAAAAAATAAAAAATAAAAATTAAAAAAATATTGGCCTAGAGTAAATCGCCCACTGTAAGGCTTTCAGAAGAGCGTGATCCGCGTCTGCCGAATCGGAGCACACTTTCAGCTCTGAAAAGAAACTATTATTCAGCTGGGCTCTGACGCTGATCATCGGCTGATTTCAGCTTAAAACTCACCACAACACTACAGCTCTCACAACACTACAGATCCCAGCCGGAAACTCATCCATCCATCTGTCAATACAATCTATTAGAAATGATTGAAAAACAAACCAATAAATAAAACAATGATTGAAATTAAATGATAAATGAAAATTCTATTTTATTATGAATGAATGAGTACATGAATGAATAAATAATATTATAAAGGAATTAATAAAAAAATAAACATTTACATTTTTTAATTTAAATAAATGTTCTATTATTTAACATCAATCAATGTATCATTGTGTTACAGTGGGGAAAAAAGTATTTAGTCAGCCACCAATTGTGCAAGTTCTCCCACTTAAAAAGTTGAGAGAGGCCTGTAATTTTCATCATAGGTATACCTCAACTATGAGAGACAAAAAACATCCAGAAAATCACATTGTAGGATTTTTAAAGAATTTATTTGCAAATTATGGTGGAAAATAAGTATTTGGTCAATAACAAAATTTCATCTCAATACTTTGTTATATACCCTTTGTTGGCAATGACAGAGGTCAAACGTTTTCTGTAAGTCTTCACAAGGTTTTCACACACTGTTGCTGGTATTTTGGCCCATTCCTCCATGCAGATCTCACAATTGGTGGCTGACTAAATACTTTTTTGCCCCACTGTATAAATGAACGAATGAATAAAAATAAATAAATAAATATGAAACATGATAAATACACAAATTGATTTCAATTATGAATGAATGAATACACAAATAAATAAATAAATAGATTAATTAATTAAATTAATTTCATTTTAAAGCTTTTAAGAGGGATTTTGACCTACTTTCATTCTCATAACACTAAAAGAGAACGACGACTCGTTTACACTGTTATCAATGTTTTCAAACTCACAAGTCATCCGTCCGTCTGTGTGTGTGTCTAATATGAGAGTGGCTTTTACAAGTTATTTTTATGTGTAGAACAGTAAATCATCTGATTAAAAAACGGATGGAGA